ACTGGTGTGATGTGATAGTGATTTATTTTATAAGATTTTAAACAAACTTTATCTTTTTTTAAAAGAAGTTTTAAGCAATTATTTACGTAAAAATTCAGAAACAAATTTGATTACAGAGATGAACTCAGAACTAAGTGGACATGAGGAGTTACCAGTGACTATGTCTAGTCATCGCCGACTCGGCTTAGCCTTACCGGCCTTACCTTAGGTTTTTTTTTTTTTTGGTCACCGTCATGAATGAAAATAATGTCAACTCCTAATATTACTAATAACTCAAATACTTCAATAAAGTTAAAAAATATTAGCTGGTTACATTATAAATTAACTTACAATTTAAATGGTAGTGCATAAAAAATAATATATAAAAATAATTTGTTTATCTATGTCTTTCTGTCCAATTCAGGACATCCTATTTACTTGAAATGAATCAACGATCGAAAACATGTCCTCTTACCAACTGTAGCGTAAACAACACGATCAAAGTTGTTCGAAGAACCTTGTTAATCCATTTATCATCAGTATCCATTCTCCACAAGTCGGTTAGGGTAGAATCATACATTACCCTGTATCTGCAATGTTTTGCAGATAGTGAAGTCAGTATAATTTTCATGACATTTTTTTAGAACGTCCACCCCCGTGTTAAATTCTAGGATCTCTAGCAACAAGCAACAGACGACCTTGGGGGGAATTAACTTAGGACATTACATCCACCAGCAGGCGTCCCCCCTACAAAGACCTGACTGCCTTCGTTAACGATTATTCACCCAACAGCCATGCAGTTCTTTGGCACGAAGGAGACACCTTGAACTTGGGTTTCGAACTGCCGACTCCCTACAAGATGTTTTTTTATGTTTTGTTATCACAATCGACGTCACTGCACATTGGGCATACCTATGCGTGCACAGTCCTCTGAAGCAGCAGCCACTTTAAAGTACTTCTACTAATTGTCCCCATGGGAAGCTGGTTATATTGTCTCCTATCTCGGCCTCGAAGACGGCAAAGACGTGCTTCACCATGCTTAACTCCCATTTAACGCCATCGTGTTAGTGTCAGGGATTCCTCATTATCCACTAGCCCAGTCCGTACAGCGTTGACCATATCTGTTCTGTCCATGCTTTTCCCCGCAATCATTAGTGCAGTGCTTGCCAGTTTGTCCACTTGCTTATTTCCCTTTACGCCCGTATGACCCGGTGTGTAGATCCAGGTTACGGAGGTTAAGTGCTATTTCCGAATGCTTTATATCCATTTAGAGTGCACACTGCCTGTTGCTATCTTCTGAAGCATATTCATTGAGTCTTATTATTCTCAGTTATTCAGTTATTATTCTCTGTTGCAAACATCTCACTGACTTAGCGCATTCTTTCGTCCTCGTGGTCGCTATGCATGGCTGTTTTCTAATGACCTGGCCAACTCTCTCACACAGTGATTCGCTCCGCTCGTATCTCTCAGATCATCTGTATCATCCTAACGTTTTGTACTTGGTATTAGAACATGGTAAAACTGGCAATCAGGAAAATATTCATCTCTGCTCTCGAACAAGTACACATGGTCATATGTTCCCCATTCTCGTCAGGTGATCTCTCGCATACGACTGCACACAACCAGGTCCGAACTTCAACTGTATTATTTCCCTCTCTGGGTTCACGTCTTCCGTTCCAGTCTCACGCTTTCCGCATATCCCTTATTCACTCACCACGGTATACTCGAGACCCGCTTATCTAGTTTTCCTCTTGTATCATTGGTCCTCTGACCTTGTCCTCCCTATCGGGAACTCTCTGGGATCTCCCCGGGAATTCACAACATTACAAATCTTCCCCTCCCCTCTAGTAAAAAAAAGTAACCTTAAATTTGTTCCTTATTACTTTGTCTTCAGGTTATAATTTTATAGGTTTGGGATCACTTTAATGTGAATTACCTAATAATTATTATGGGCTTTGGTGATTACTTCCCTTTCACTAGGTTTGACATTATTTCCCTTTGTCACATCGCCAGTCATTGTATCTAGTGAGTACCATGTGGCCTAATGGGAATCAACCATTCTGGCACTCTCTTTCAAGTGCGGTAGTCCATATAGGCTCTGCGCATCCTTCATCCCATCCCACAGTCTGTCTAAAAACAGAACTACAATCCTGGTACTCTCTTTCAAGTACTTAAGTCCATATCGGCTATGGAACAGAAATGTAAAAAAACCCGCAAACTCTTACCCTAACCCTTGGACTCACTGGCTACTATCACTGGTTTCCGTTTCAATTAGAGTTTCATGTTTTCCTACCAAGGACTTTGACCCCAATCCCTTGGATTATGTGGTGTTTATTACCCATCATTTTTCTCATAAAGTACTATTATTCCCCTCCTATTATCATACTAGATAGCTCTATAACATGTTTTACAATCATTATTTTCACCAACTAATCACATTCTATTATCTTTGTAACAAACATTTACAATCATTATAAACACCTTATATCTTTAATATGATGTATCATCATTAACATCCTTATCGTTATCGTCATCATCATCATAATTATCATCATCATGAGCATCATCGTCATCATCATCATCATCATCATCATTATCATCATCATCATCATCATAATCATCATCATGATCATCATCGTTATCATCTCATCATCCTCATCATTATCATTTTGTTAGTTGTAAACAAATATAACAAATATAAAAATCATCATTTTTCCCATTATTACATATTTCATTCGTTCAACAATACTGTTTCCTGTTAACTGTAGTTCAATGTTTCCCCATGTAATTATAATAAATAAACATATAAAACCTTAAACACATGTTTATAATCTGGACATCACGTCTTGTAGATGGTTTTTAATGCCCTTAATATTCTCTTTTTTAAACTGAAATTGGGACATTAATAACGCCCATCTGTATACCCTTGCGTTACTAGTTGCTTCCACTGTTAACAATTTCGTCAGACCTAAATTGCCAGTCAGAATAATAAATTCCTTTCCTATTAAGTATTTTTGGAACTTTTTTAAAGCTGATCAAAAGAGCAAGAGCCTCTTTTTCGAAAGTACTGTAATTCTGTTGAGTGGAATTAAGTTTCTGTGAAAGATACAGAACCGGATGAAGAATACCAGCATGTCTCTAAGCTAACATCGCCGCTATGATGTGACCACTAGCGTCCGTTTGTAAATAGAAAGTTCTAAATAGATCGGGTTGTTTCAGGTTTGGTGGAGTTGCAAATTAAGAGTTAATTTTTTTTTTTTGGGGGGGGGGGGGGGGGGAGTAAAATTATGTCATGGATTTCTGTCCAATCTGGTCTTTCTTCAAGAGTTCAGATAAAGGAGCAGGGAGTTCAGCTAAATTAGGAATGAATTTACCGTAATAATTTACAAGTCATAGTAGTGACTGCAGTTGTTTTTTGGTCCTCGGTCTTTCATCAGTCCCTCAAAAACTGTATGTCCTAAAAATTGAATACGTGTAAAACAAAACTCTGATTTTACTGGGTTAACTGTCAGGTTTGCCTTTTCAATTTTGTGGAACACTTTTTGCAAGGTGTCTAGGTGTTCCGGCAAAGTGTTTGTCTGGATACAAATATCGTCCATGTTTGCTGTTACATTATTAATACCTGTTAATACCTTTCTGATCATCTTTGTGAAGATTTTTGATGCGTTTATCAGTCCAAAGGGTAACCGTAACTATTGTTTTAAACCAAGTTGAGTTTAAAAACTTGAGTACCGGCTAGCATTTTGGGTCAGTGAAATTTGCCAGTATCCTTTGCAAAGATCTAATTTCGTAAAGAATTTATAATTGTACAAATTCTGGATTATCTCCTCTGTTGAGGGAATAGGTTCTGATTCCAATAGGGTTATGGTATTTCATTTTATGTAATCTACGCATAATCTCAAATTGCCGTCCTTATTTTTACAATCACCATTGGCGAGCTGTACTCTGATGTTGAGTCTTCAATTATACCGTCTGCTTGTAGTTGTTTCATTTCATCTACAGCTTTATCAAAATAATGAATAGGAATAGCCTAGTTTCTAGCTTTCACTGGAATGGTTGAGTTCAACTGGATGTCAAACTGGATTAAATCTGTTTTCCCAGGTTTATTTGTAAATATATTTTTGTACTTTTGAATTACACCCCCAATTTTTAATTTATCTTCTGGTGATAATTCCGGGTTTATTTTTACAGACCTGCAACTGATCTCATCCTTCATTGACTTATTGACGGTGTTGGTATTTCGTTATTAATTGCATCAGTTGCTTGTTCATTAATCATGTTACAAGCATTGACATTTTCTATAATATCATTAATAAAATCTCTTCTAATGTATCTTTTCATCATATTAACATGACAAATTTTCAATTTCCCTTTATTGTCAATCTCATAG